ATCTCTGCTCACCAACAACTCCTGCAATCATAATTTACTCTCTAGAAACCGGGACAGAAAAAGGGACAGGAAGAGGCTTATGCCACCAGCTGTCTCCAGTCTTCATGGAGAGCCAGTAGCACAACTCCCCGCAGCAGGCACTGAAATCGGATTGTGTCATTGGAAAATGATGAACTTGAACGCCTCTTCACCAGGGAGGAAACCTGTGTATAATTAGAGATTTTTGATGGGAAAATATTAAAGGAACTTAGAACTCTGCAGTCAGAAGATCTACTGAAGTCCTGCCCATCCTACCCATGAAGGTCACTACTCTGGGCTTAAGTCCTGAAGCTCTTCTTGTAGAATACAAGAATTTCACTACATATAACCAAAGCAAAGCAAAAAGTTCCCAAACTGTAGTGTTTAAAAATGACTGTTCTGTTTTGAAAATAATTAGCTTCATCTTACAGTCAATTGGCACACAAAAATTCACTTGCAGCTTTAGGGTGCAAACACTCAAAAGGTGTGTGGGAGTATTTCCTTAGAAATAAATTCCTGAATCGTAACTCCTATGCTCAAACACATTAATAAAACCATCAATAAATTCTTCAAAAGACAGCCTCCAAGTGACAGAGTTTTCCATTATATGAAGAGGCAAGCCCAGCAACATTTTGCTAGCTTAACAGTTCTTCTAGTGAGGATAACTGTCCTCTCTGGCGAGAACATTTTAAATACCACCCAATCCTGTAGTCCAGGCACTCAGGATGTGTAATCCTGTAAAAAGTTTATCCAGCAATGTTAAAAGAACAGCAACCTAAGGAAAATGAAGATCCACAAGACTACTACTGAATTTTGTAACCATCTTTTATCAAAGATGGTATCCTAAGACTAATAAACAGCAATGTGTTTCTTTGGAAAAACTACAAAGTTCAAGAAAAAAAGGTTAAAATAAAAGGCAGACCTGTTATTTTGGCAAGTCTGTGGAGGAAATTCTTCTTGGCTCAGTTATGAAGAAAGTTATTATTTATAAAAGCCCATCCTTTAGTTTACTTTGGAGAATAGCTGTTCCAAGTTAATGTGGCTTGGTGAGTAAAACATATATATGAATGTTTCATACACGGAATGAGACTGACATCCTGAACAACCCAAACAGGATGAGAAAGATAAAACCTAATGTGTTTTATGCTAAACAGAGAATCCAAATTAATAAATTGAAACTAGCATGAAAAGACGGTCCTCATCACGCTTTGACTGATACCACCCTGGGGAAACCAAGAGCTTAATCACATTCTCAATCTAGCATCTCGACTTAATTTGGATTCTTTTGCAAATCTTATTTGATCATTCTTTCTTGGAGGAAGAAGGTATACTCTTCATGGTACATACTAAAACTCTCTTGCTTCGGTGGCTATTTCCATGATGTTATATTACCATTAGTAAGACTACTCCAGACACTCTCTCTTATTTTAATCCACAGGGTAATCAAATCCAAAGACTCTCAGTAGCACCCCACCAACATCATGGAAGAGAATCAATCAATTTGGAAAGAATTTTCTTGTCCTTTCAATTGAAAAAAAAAAAAAATCTGTCTTTTTGAGGCCCCACTGCATCATACTTAAGTACAGCCTACTGTATTTGGGACACTTTAGTACACTCTGCCTGTATTGATAAGAACTAGTTTCTCCCTGAAAGAAGCACCACTAGGAAGTATAGCCGAGCTGTTAGGCATTTCGGAAGCAAAGCTGCAGTGACTGCAACGAGTTTCTTTGCAACATAACATAAATTAAGTAATTCTGTATAACATGGGAGTAGCGGAGTATGTTTGATCTGTGAAGTATGCTGCCTCAAATAATCACTGAATTAAAAGGGTGATGCAATGATTACTTGCAAGATCCACCTTCCAAAATGCTGCTTGCATCTTGCTGAAATGCAACGCTGCTTGCAAGCGAGACCAAACGACTATCTTGCACAACTTCAGGAGGAAGACACTAACACTGAGCTTTTAAGATGGACTCTCTCTCCTAAATCAGCTTTTGCATTGCCAGAAGGTCTGTGTTAGTCCTCCAGTATAGAGGCGTTTGCAAATGGTACCCAAATTATCCCACAATGAGGGCTTTCAGACTTCACAAGCAGCACCTCAGAGTAACCGAATAGATCAGAAAAGTGAACGAGCCTCAAAGAACAAAGAGTTCTAGATAACTTTTTTTCCCGCTTAGCTACTTATGAAAGAACATTCAACACCCATTTCCTCAGCAAAGGAGTACCTTTTCATCTTAGCCATGAACAATAGAGACAGGGACACTTCTAAATAAATGAAGTAAAAAAAGAGCCCTAGTTTTTGGGCTGTTTTAAAGAATGAAGCCTGACATATCTAAATCAAAGACAACTTCAAGCTGAAATGTAAACACATCCCAAATACTCATTACACAGTGCAGACACTTGCCATTACCTGTTTTCACACAGAAGAATAATTTTTTCTCCATGCATAAGAGCTAAGTTTGCAACACCCCACGACTACTTCTGAATTCCAGCAGGAAAGCTCTGAACTTGGGGTATCAATACCCAACCTAAGCAGAACCCTGTAGCTTGGCAACTTGGGAGATGGAACAGTTCGCAAGAGGGTTGCTTCCACCTGCTGGAGATGGGAAATATTAATGTGAGGCCAAAAGACCCTGCTGCTTGTAGGGACCAAGATGGTGATGGTTTGGCATAGCACGGATGCTTTCACTTCATGCTGAAAGAGAAGCAATCTCACCCGAGTGACCAACTCTGGTTTCACCCAAACCTCTGTGGACATAAGCACGAGAGGCTTGCTGCTGACGAGCTGTCCAAGTGTTAACTGAAACTGAACGCACACAGATCTCAGGTCTTCTGAATTCATACCCACAAAGTCCCCTGAAAGACAAGAAAATTCAACCTAAAACGCACACAGGGCTCCTCCTGCGCGGTTCCCCTAAGCATGTAGAGACGCACCCATCCCATGAGCTCAGGCCCCACAGCACAGAAACGTCCCTTTTCAGCTGGGCAGAAAGGAGAATTCCACCCCTGCTCACCTCTCCAGATGGCCAACATGAGGAAGCCATGAGCAGTTCAGCCTCCAACCACCCGCCTCGCTCAGCGCAGTTACCCTTACCATGGCTCTCGGAGCAGCCGCCAGCCCGGCTGGCCACCACCAACCTGCGTAGCCCCTGTGCCTGCGCGGTTCTGGCATTCTTCTCATTTTGGATGCTGAGAAGCGTTGCTATTCAGTTTTTCCTTTTGCTTTACCAGCAGTAGTGGAATATTGAAACTACTCCCCCAAACACCACCATTCAGCTTCCTGTTTCCCGTCATTAGAAACACCTCTTCTATTGGAAAGCGCATTTAAGACAAGATTTGGAACAAATATTTTGCCCCCTGATGCGCTGTCTCAGCACTGCGCTGAGTCAACACCCGAAGCCATCTTCCTTTCTCCTGCAAACAGTTGTAAAGAAAAAGGCCACTTTATTTAATTCCTTCATAATTAGGAATTAAATAATCTAAACTTCATTCAGCTTCCAGTAATACAATTTCTTGTATTTTGCACGGTTTTCAGTAATTTAAAGATATTCACTCTCTAACCAGTTTGCTAAGATGGTGAGAGTTGCAGTTCTGTTTCTGCAGTCACTCCAAGATGTGTGGTTTACTCCATGTACCTGTCCAAACCCCATGCACCTCACAGACAGTAACAAGCGATCGAGTTGTTTTTATGGGATGTTGTGAAAAGTGAAAAGTATTGGCGTGTGAATAGCACACCAGGTAACCCATGCTGAATCTTCATTCAAAACAAGACTAAAATACATGCGTTATAAAAACAGGGTTTGTCATAAATCACTGTTATCCTAAGTCATCTCGCATTTTTCTTCTGACATTGTTTAGATTTTATCATCAGCCAATTAGATTAATTACATGCAAGCTTGCTGCAGCAGATAACTGTAAAACATAATAAATCTAAAGACATTTGTAGAGAGTTACCCGTTCAACGAAAATCTCATTTAAACTTCAGTATGTAAGCAACTTAAACATCCTTTTTCAGCCCATAAAGACTCTTCAGACTTTCACTACTATTTATATTGCTTTTTTCATCTGAATTTGGCAACATAAGGGTATATAATCTCACACACCCTTCTGCTGGCTGACTTGGATTCTGGTATGCAATGAAACACAGGCTAACTCACAGCACAGACCAAGTTCTTCCAGTCAGCTTGAGGGTCCTTAAAGTCCTTAGGAAAAAACCACCCAAACTCCTCTATCAGTAGCACTCCTGGATCTAATAATTGCCAGCAATTAATGAGTGAAATAGGACAGTTACCTTGAGACAGAAAAGTAACTACTGAAGATCAAAAGAAGTCAAGAAAACGTTTCTCTCCCTGGCTATACACCTTAAAAGCAGCCACTCAGACCACAAGTAGTCACACATCAAAATACATTTCAAGTCTTGGTAGTAGCTCAAAAAAACAACACGTAATATTCTTAAAAAGCTACCGAACACCTATCTTGCCGTTACCAGCAACAAGTTATGGTGGTTTTCTTACACATGAGAAGGTGACACCTGAATATCAGGAAGTACTGAGGGTAGTATCGTTAAGGCTAAATTACACCTGTGTGTGGTGCAATCACGTCATCAGTATACTGTGCAAGGAGAATTCTTCAACCTTGACATCAGTTTGCACGCCTGCTAAAACAAATGCCAACCTTCTCTCTCATTAATTTCAACAATTATTATGGTGTTTTGGGGGTGATTTAGGCTATTCTAAGTTCCAGGCCAAAACAAAACTACCAACTTCTTTCACAGGAGAACAAGCTGCAATGCTGTGACACTGAGGTTCCTGACTGAACCATACAGTGCTTGGTTCTTTTCAACTGCTGGCAACACCGGTTTCCACATTTTTCAGTTTCTGGCAAGCTAATATGATCTTATCAGTCTCTGAAATATACCACAAACAGATTTAATTAACTCAACGTTTTTAATTTCAGCCACAAAAATCAGAAGAATGACTTACTTGGGTCTCGACTGCTGTACGGCCATCCTGAGGCAGGTAAAAAAGACGGCATTGGAGAGCTTGCCCTGCTGTCATCCTCTACTTGCTGTGTAATATGCCGCACAGTTTCTTTATTTTTTCTGTTCTTCCTGCGCCCAGTGGGTTGCCAGCCATCCCCTACTCCTTGTTCTGAGAACGCGTTCTGTATTGCACTATCCTTGGCAGAATGTAGTTCACTCCCTCCATAATGTGATGGTGAAACCTGTTCCTCTTTGATACGTAAAGACCCATAGCCCATGTCACTAGACCAAAGAGACTGGGATGAAATGTCTTCGTGGCTGTCTGTTTTTGGTTCTTGATCCTCTTTTCCATAACTACTCCCTCCTTCGTGGCAGCTGGCAATAGCCGAATCTCCAGAAGAGTTTGCTGGACTTGTTCGCCGAGCTAACCAGGGAGATATACTCCTGCCAGCCACGACTGCGGAAATCAAAGCATCTGTACTACTGCTGGAAGGGGCTCCAAGTTCGTAATCAACAAGGTCATCCGAGGCATCAGACTTTATGCTTATGTCAAGAGCTGCTTTTATGAAATTGTGACAGGCTTGTACAATATCTGTCATTTGCAGATAGCTAGCAGCTGACATCACCTCAATGACGTTTCTGCTGGTCAGTGCTAAGTGTGCAGAATACATGAAGTCAATGATTGCTTTAAAGCCTTGTGCAGTTACAATGTCTAAGTGGGTGACTGTGGCCTGGTCGGAGGTTTTCTGTACCTGGCAGTACAGCGTTTTGAAGTAGCGACTACTCCCAAGCAGAACGTTTTTGTGAGCCTTAAATATCTTCCCCTCCACTATAATGCAAACATCACAGAGGATGCCGTGTTGCCTCTGCTCGTTTAGCTCACGCAGCAGATGACGGTAGTGGGAAGCAATCTCCATATCTTCCTTTCGGTTATTCATTTGGAAATCTTTGTGTTTCCTCTTCCACAAGTCCTGTATGGGGAAGGAAATGACAGTATTACGAAATCCAGGACAAGCTTACAGACATGTTTCTCAAAGACTGAGGAAAAACCCCAAGTTGTACCAAATTAAGTAACAGGTTCATCTTGAAGGAATGCCACAAAATACAACTACTGCCTAGAAAGACTGCATGTTCATCACACAATGCAGCTTACTTTTACCAGACTTCAAATAACTTACATTAAACGGAACTAGATTTGAAGCTCAATCCTCCAGTGGCTCGTAACATCCCAGAGAAACATTTCTTTAAATTACTAAAGACTTGTAAGAAAATCTGTCTTAAGTTACTTCGGTAAAACTGCTGTCAAGTTTTTACTGTCTGGGTTCAGTGAAGTTTGGTTTTGAAAGAGGTACTACACTTGAAACCACGCCGATGGAGACAAACTATTGAAGAGCACTCTGTAACACAATTTCCTCAAGGGAATAAGCATTATGTGTAGCACACTGAATAGCTGAAATCCTCAAACAGCACAAGCCAATTGAAACCAGCTATTTCCCTCGCTATATTGCCGTTGAGGGGCCATAAATACCGTTTTCAAGTCAGAAGAGCAACAGGCAAATGCAAGACCACAGATCACAGAATTTTAAGTCCCCACACAAACTAAATTGGCAATGTATCAGAACTACAAAAATTAATGTTATTTGAAGCTTAACTACTTATAAGCACAAGATTTTTAACTTTGCAATAAAGCACGTTATTTCCTTGGCTTTACCTCTTAAGAGTTTACCCCAAACCCACCCTAAGATACAGGGTAGAGAAATTCTAATAATCACCTAAACATTCATGTTTAGAAAGGATGCTTATGACCAAAATAACAAAGCATCCATCAAGCTGAGAATTCACAGGACTTTCAATCACCTTTCATAAAATTTGACAGTATTATTAAAAAAAAAAAAAAAAGGCCTGGTTAGTGCAGTTACTACCTTTGCAACTGCATACTTGCCTTTGGTGCCACCGCTTTTAGAAATTCCTTGGCATTAATTTCCGCCATTTTATCTAGCTTACACTACTTATTCGGAACTTACTATCAAGATTTGTATACCGCACAACAGTGGTTTAATGGTCCAACTAATTAAGAGCGATGAGCTGCCGCACAACGTGAAGGATATCTACTCCTTTCTCTCAAAAACTTACAATTTGTTGCCATATAAGAAGCTCCAACTGTAACATTGATATGTGGGTCCACCTGTCAACATACAACTGTAAAACTGGTATCTGCTGGCAAGACCAAATTCCGCGTGTAGTTACGGGCAGGCACACACATCAGAAGCCTGGATTTAGGCTACTGCCGGTTGCTGATAAAACCGAAATCACTGTACTTCCGCGGTCGTACAGCCTTGAAGCGCGCGTGGTTAAATGTATGCGCTGTCGGTAAGGCGGCTGATACGAGCTCAAAGCAACTTTCTAACATAGATCGAGTTCAACCACAAATTCACTCCCATCAGTTCGGTCGGCTCACAGCAGCGGGCAGTCCTAGGGCAGCCACGATTAAAAAAGTTTCCCGACGCACCAAGTGGGTTTCACAGATCTGTATTCCGCAGCACAGAAGACCTCTGCCCCCCTCCCCTAGTCTGTGCTGTTACCATCATCTACAGCAGCAGAACAGCTGCAGTTTAGCCAACGCCATCGGCTGGAAAGCAACCTCTCAGCCCACAGAACATACGTGACGCAGGACCTCTCTTCTAGAGAGCCACCTGATGATTCAGAAGTTCGCTTACGCAAGATTGCCTGCACGAGCTTCTCCAGTTCCACAAGAACGGAGCCGTCTCTTCGGCAACGGCAGAAACACGAATTTGCAGGACCAGCCGGTCCCCAACCATGAGAAGCGTTTGCTTCCCTCAGGAGAGGAAGGACCATCTTCCTGCAGCACAAACAGGCTGCCCTGGTGTTCATCTCTCTCAAATCCATACAGCTTTTCTACAGAATCAAGCACAAAACACCCAGAGAAGCTAATCTTTTTTTTTTTTAATTTGAACTGGAAGAGGTCAATAATAGTGTAGCTCTACACTATCTGAACGACACTGCCTATTTACCACCGAAATCTGCCCAGAGACCTCAAATAAAATTCTCACGCAGAAGCCATCTCCATCTCAAATGAAATAAAACAATAAAAATCAAACCAAGAATCAGAGTCAGGGAGAAAGGAAAAAAAAAAAAATTAAAAAATCTTTTTTCAGGTGTTTGGCCTGAAATGGTTGTGATGGAACCAGCCAGCACAGCAGCTCTCTAACGCAGGCTCTGAAGGTGGCTGCCACCACCTCCCAACATCTTTCTTTGAGAGAACCACCTCTTAAGGCAGAATGACAGTTCAGTTTTGTCTTTATTCCAGAAACCACTACTGCATCTACTTTTAGGAGTTGAAGAGTCAGCTCAGTCCCCTCAGGAAATATGAACTGCCACATAGGATAAAGTGAGTTGTCCATCACCAATCCCATCTTCAACAGCTGCCATATCCACGACTCAGAGGAAGACACAAGAAAACCTCACAGCAAACAATTACAAAGCGATCGGAAGGTTTCAGATATGGCATTTCTTGTGCTGTTCCTTCAGAGGTATCAAAATCTATATTCCAAGACATCAGCTCCCTGGAATTGGTTGGGGCGGGGTGGGGGAAATCTCCTGCCAGGGTAATTTTCTCAATTTAATACAGATTAGCATGAGGAGTATTTGTCAGCGTCTTCACCTGCTTTTGTGAATTTATGCAACAACAACTTTTCTTCTTGAATGTTTTTCCCCTGCAAATTACACCAGTTCCATGAGATTTTATTTCTTTACTATTTCATACATTCATTCAGCTTAGTTCAGTGGGTTGGGTTGCCCCTCACTGTTGATAACAGTCTGTCTTAGATACACCTTGTCCTTTAAGTTGCCTAGGGCAGAAACCCAGATTAAAATATTTGTCTCTTGCTACCTTTGGTTTAGACTGGACCAGTCTGAGGTTCAGGCATTGCCTAATCTGGTGCTTCGTATGGATGAAGCACTTGCTAACCTCTTTAGGAAATAGCTTTTCTCTGACTTTATTTTCTATCAAGGGATTTTTACTAAAAACACACACACAAAAAATCAGTGCAAGATTCCTTACTGGTCTCCCTCCCACCCACCAAGCTCTTGACAGAAGACACCCTCCAGGCAAGCCATGGATGAACAAAAGCGTGTCGTTACAGTAAGATCATACGGTCCTCGTGTCTTACTTGCCCCCATTTCCAAGGACATTGAGGACAAGAGCAGAGGGCGAGTAGGTACCTTTTGGACAAGAAAGCAAAACCACCTGACATTCTAAAATATGACGACTTTAAGAAAACAAGTAAAGATAATGACAACAGACATGCCTCTACGCAAAGGGAAGACAACGTGTCCTTGTTCCAAAGTGTTTTAAGTATAAAGAGAGAGAAAGATGAATGGGGAAGACGCCCATCAAAGAGCAGCGTCCTTTCCACTGACAGGTGGGCACATTATGGCACGTTCGAGTATGCAAGCAATGATGCGGGTACTCCCCTCTTCAGTCTGATCAATACAGTTTAACAACCAGCAATTATTATTGTAGATGTCTTGATCTTCCTCTGTCTAAAGGTCTGCTACCTTAAACATATTGTTCCACGTTCAACATTTGTCACAGCATTGTACCTTTTTAATGAGAGGTCTTTGGGGGAGAAAATTAAATATGCCTCAAATTCAGAGGAATTAATTAGTTTTCTGTCTACCCATGTCAAACCAGAACATCCGTTTAATGTCAAGGATCACTAGGGAATTAATCCAAGTTAAATTTAAGGCAATTTGCTAGTAGTTAAAAATTCAGGAAGCTTCAAAACCCTGTGCTCCTATGTTCCAATTTTCCATGCTGTTTTCTGGCTTGTTGTCGGTTCCCCCCCTTCCTTCCTGGTAACGATATTTATCTGCACTTAAAAGATGTTGTAGAAAGATTTCTTCAGAAAAGCAGTACTCTTCAAACTTCTAGTGGAAACATGGTAAAGATGGAATAAACTGGAGATTTTTTAGACACAGACCTCGAAGATCAGTGATGTATTTTTTGTTTATCTCAGGTCTTTTTAGTACACTGAAGGATTTCAAAGTCAAGCACCTACTAAAATCCTTTAGGCCTAATCCTTTAGGCCAGCACATGGCGACAACACATCTTTCCAAGGAGCCAATGAACCATGAAGGCTCATCTGTGTATTTTCCACAAAACAAATTGTAGCAGATCACGCTTTCTTCATAAGTCAATTTGCAGACAGTACAGTAATTCAAGTCCGTTACTTTTCCAAAATTAACTAAAAAAAATTGGCCCTGAACAAAGAACACTTCCATATAACAGCAAAAAGAACAAAACATGAGCAGATTTAATAATCACTTTCATGAAAACTTCTGTCAAGATACAGGCCAGCTTTTTATTTTTCATGTTGTCAAAAACTTGGTCTTAAAAAGTAAGCATTAATAATTTCTCTAAACTTTAACCCTAGCTAGAATGAACCTAGTTCTACAAATATAGCATCTATGAAAACTGTTTATTTTGCACTATCAGTACAGTGTTCTGAACATGAAAATATCACCTGATAACATAATGAATGTCTAAATAAACAGTTTTCACCTACTATTGGCAAGGTTTTAAAAAGCGTAACCAGTAACACCTACAAAGCCAACCTCTCGGCATACGTACCCATAATAAGCCTCCTGAGCAAAATCTTACCACCAGTAAAACCAGGGGTAGAAATTTGCTGCATCTAAAACTCAGTGCATTATTTGAATTTTAACAAAAAGCCACAGACAAGAAATGGAGTACACACATGAAAGTCTCTACAGTACAGTCCCCTGGGAAATAGTGGGGACAAAAATAAACTGCAGAAGGAAAACAGGAAAGAAAAGAGGAAAAAAAAAAAAAAGGACTGGAGGGGTTTTTTGGGTTTTTGGTGGTGGTAGGGATTTTTGTTTGTTTGTTTGTTTGTTTACTTTTTGCGCTCTCAGAATATAAGCCAACCAAGAATTTAAACTACATGACATTTAGTCTATTACAATTTTCTAAACATGTTTCCACGCTTAATACTAAGGACACAAGTTACAGAGTACCAATATACTCACTACTGCACTCCTCCACCAGCCACTCTAGGCTCCCTAGAGAAAACATGCCCACTGGAATTTCACCAAAAATGTGTTGTTTCCTCCCCCCTCTCCCTTCAGAGAAAAGTAAAAACAGATTAAGGAAGAACTCAAATTCACTCCAATGGTTTATTATACAAAAAATTAGCAAACACACCCCACTTCTCTGCTTCCCTCGTGTCCTGTCCATGTCTCCACTCCCAAGACATTCCAACATTTTTCAAATTCTTCTGCAAAGGAGCTCTGTAAGGTGAGACTGGGCTTGAAACGCCTCTTTGCAGCACAGGACACAGTGTGTATACGAGTCTCACTTTTATCCAACTGAAGACAACATAAATGCATAGGATTCCTCCTATCCCTGTGCCCTGTGCTGAAAAGAATGGAGAACAAAACACCCCAACGTAACCTTAGCAACTGAAAAAGACGGTACCTATACTTATTCTCCTAAACGAGAGAAAAAGCAGACGACTTGGGATATTAAAGGATGATAACTCCCTGCAAAGACACTGCTCACGAGCTTTACAAGTACAAATGTCCAGAAGCACAGCGTTTGCTCGTAAGCATGTTTGAGGAAGAACAGTACACAGTTCTAGAAGAATTTTAATTTCTTGATACTGGATACCCCAAAATTATATTCGTATGTTCAGCTTTGTTCAAAGTAGATACAAGTAACAGCTTATGAAAATGAACAGTTGCCAAATACCCTATTCTGATTCATGAAACCCATCATTCATTGTTTAAGTTGGTCATTCCAACCACAGCTCTGAATTCAAAGAGAAACAGGCAGATATTTGTAAACAGACCAAACCAGACCCTTGGGCCAAAGAGGTTACTCACAGCTCACAGTTTCATGAAAACAACAGTGTACCACTTTTCCCTTATGACTGGGGATGAGAAAGTTTAATTACAGCCCAACAGTGCACGTTCAGCCTTAGGAGTCACAGGAAGAAAATAAAAGTTTTGCCATGTAGTTTGAGAAATATTATAGAATTACAGAAAAGGCTAGAAGAAAAGGCTAGAATTTGGGAGGCAAATGATTTTCAGTGAACTTAAAGAAAAATACTAGTTCTGTTTTTATTATCAAATTTGAGAGGCTCAATTCTTTATGACTGTGGGGCAAAAAAACCCCTCAAGCCTCTACCAGTATTCAATTGACATCTGCCTGATGAGGACTGACTAAAATTTCTCCAATTTCAAGCCAATGCCACCCCATCCTCAACAGCATTAAAACAGCATCTCTGTTGCAGTTACAATCCAGAAAGTCCATGAGTAAAGTTCAAGCAGCAGCAGCAGGGCACGCTTTACACCTCAGCAGCTGTAACATACCAGCAAAGAAATCCCTTGCTCCAACTGCTAGTTCTCAGGGCTGGCAAAGAGATTTCAACTCCCTCTCTGTCCAGGATAGATTTAGTCAGGAAATACAATGCATTTAAGACTGTATCATCAGTTTACAATTGCTTCTACCATTAAAATACATAGATCCAAATGCAAGTAGGAATTAAAAGAAGGCAAATTTCAGAAAAAATAACAAGGACATGCAAAACGCTACACGCTCCTAGTCATTCATATCATCAAAGCTTTGTTTCTGCAATCCAAACATGAACCACACGCAAAATCTAACTCCGATAAGCAAAACATAAAAATAACAGAGAGCCATCATCAAGCTCACTCTCCACTCCAAAACTTTAAACCAGAGACTTGGCTTTGGCCTTTGACCTGCCAAACCACCTGCCTGAAGTTATGGGGCCAGCTGTAGTGCGCAGAAGCTGGACACTACGAAGTACAACCACAAGACAGGATTTCTGAAGGTATCTTAGAAAAATCCATTTATTAACGTTCATTAGCTCTGACAGCGCATGAAAAATTTTGAGGGAAAACCAGGTCTGAAAATGAAAGCTAAGGGAAAGTGGTTAGCCTCCACATTTTGGAAGGAGGGCAATTAGAAATTAGAATTAGAAATTTAGAAAACAAAGTTAAAAAGATGAGAGGAAAAAAACCAAAACAAAAAAGACCAGAGATGCACATTTTGCTATAGAGTTCTTAAAGTAATAAGCAGTGAAGAGATCTTTAGTGATGTAGTTAGAGAAAGCACGCAAACTTTAATATTTAAAAAAAAAAAAAAACCCAAGACAATTAATTCTTACCAGTAACAAACTGGGTTCCAGGTCTAGCGTTTCTCCTACAACAGCCGAGGACATCAACAGCCCTAGGGCAGCACAGGTAGCGCACTGTTCCGCAACCTCCCGCTAGCACTGGTGTGAACTCTTGTAGGAGAAAGACAGGACTGTGATAAAAAACAAAACCAGAAGTCATCATTACCATTAAACTATGGGGTTACTGAAAACAGTGATACAGCTTGAAGTCCTTTCCCTCCAAACTCACAGTTATAACACCCCTATTTATGTCTTAACTAACCCAAAAAACATAAACTCAAAGTGTATCAATACTTTGCGGGTAACTAAAGCCTGTTTACCTTTTTGCTATAATATAAGCAAGAGTTCCTTCTTAAAGTATGGGAAAAAAAAGGTCTAATTTTAGATACTAAAACTTCAAACAGATCCTTGGAACAACAGTGTTTCCTGTTTGGTAGCTTTTCAAAACATTCTCACTTTAATGACTTTTTAAAGACACATTTGTGGCCTGAAGGGCACTAATTCACCTCATCTGACCTATAAAACACTGATGTTAAAAAGCTACCAATACAACTCCTGAAGAAAAAAATCAAGTGTGCAATGGAATATCCAAGAGAATTTCCTCTTGAAATGTTTAAGGGTGAGTTTCTACTGGCTGAGGTTAAGAGACTAAACAATGCCAAGACTTTGAAAATTCTGTGTAAAATATAGATACCTAGGTATAGTAAGGCACATTCACAGACAGACTTCTCAGATAAAATGTTAACGTTTATGATTACAATGGATGAAGAATAGGAATAGTTCGTCTACACGAACTTTTTTTGTCTATGAGGACACATCCACTATAACGATCATCCTGTACACCTGTTTTTCCCTAAACAAAAGACTTGATTTTCTTCAGAACAACATATTCACTACACTTGCAACACTTCAACTAGAACTTTGGACTATACGTTACTCAAAACTTCATACCATTTATATACTGTTAGTCACTACAGCAAAGTACTTGCCATATATTTCTGATCTCTGTGTCTCAGACACCTTCAATACACAGATTAGCTCTCTTAATGAAAATAAGCTATAAATCAACACTGTGATTCCAAGACCGACCTTCTGTAGTAACAGATTGTGGAAGAAAACATCAGAAGATAAAAAGTAAGAAAGCTTTTCCAACACAAACTCATGTCATTATAAACGGTGAAATAACATATCTAATAAACAATGAAGTAATACGGAAGATCCAAGCATTCTTATGGCAGCAAGCAGAACTTATGAAAATCGTGAAAACAAGTATGACCCAACTGAAGCAAATACCACTGACTTTGTTCTCAATTTCTATTTCAGACTGCCAAGTCTTGCCTTTCTCCAATTCTCATCGCTTCTCCATAGCAATTGTTTTGGCTAGCTCTTTTTAGTCCCGTTATTCAGACAGTTAAAAAAATAAAATGGAGGAGTGATGGAGCCAGACCAAGACAGACACATGGGAAATTACTTTGTTAGCGAAGTGTAAAAGTAAAACATATTTTCACTTAGACTTAGGACTGTTACTGTTAAGGCTCTCATTTACACCTCTGTCCCAGAGCCACAAAATGAGCCAGAATAGTCTGGTAGGAATGGTAAAGCTGAGACCTATGTTATTTCGCACTGCTCTGCATTTTTTTCGTCTTGCTTTGAGCTCTGCACCTGTTTTCCTCCTCCAATTGAACAGAAGAGACCCGAGCGACCGTGATTAATGGAGGCAGCCCTGCCACAGGGTGGGAGCAGAAGAATAGCCAGAGGTATTTCTTCAACCTTTGCAGTTGGGTAAGATTTCTAAGCCAGCCTTTATTATCGATGTTAAGTCAAATTTTATGAAGAAGTGTTAAGTCCTCATGGCAATGTTATCTCCAGCTACTCTTTCC